TTCCCCCCTTAGCTCGGTTCGTTTGGCCATATGTGAACACGGCAATCACGCCCGGATCCGCGCCAAAACAATCGGTCCGAGATCGCCTGAACGAGGTGGTCTCGGTTCGATTGAAAACGAACTCTGGAGCGGTTCGGTTGTAGTGAGAAAGCAATCCGATCTAACGGACCAACGAACCAGGCTATATCACAATGTATAATGGGTAATTACATAAATTCCATGAAAAGCATTATCTTTGTTATTTTGCTAATACCTCAAAATGAACCTGTGAATGTCTGTGGGTGAGCACGTCTTCGCCATTCAAAATCAAAGTGCACTTTTTCATTTTATAATGCCGTCTTATTGCTCTTCTTCCTAGTAGGTGCATTTTAAAAATGTTTTCCCGATGAATCCTGGACTCCTGCTCAAAATGATAAATTAACATAACGACAGCTACAAAAAAAAACAACAATAAGCCCGCAAAGCTGTTGTCGTTCCATCCTGACTGAGTGGAATCCCGGAAAATAAACCGTGTAACTCTGACCAATGAGGGAACAGTTTACTCGCGCGTGACTTTTATTAACAAATTTGGTCCATTTCGAAACTTTGCCGTGTAAAAGCGAACCGCACCAAGAATAAAACGCAACATTGTAATAATTTTAATCCCTGTTTCGTAACAAAGCAATCGATCTAAAGGTGTGAAAGCACCCTTTACAACTTTGTTGCCATGATAACATAATGCCTAAAACCATAAAATGACCATAAAAATGTCAAGAACAATTTTACAATTCAACAGAATTAATTTCTGTTAAAATGGAATTATGTTTAAATTAATTTTTATAAATAAAAGTGTTAAAAAATAGTGTTTTTATAAAACCTTAAAGGGATAGTTCACCCAAAAATGAAAGTTCTGTCATTAATTACTTACCCTCTTGTCGTTCCAAACTCGTAAGACCTTTGTTCATCTTCGTAAGACAAATTAAGATATTTTTGATGGAATCCGAGAGCTTTTTGATGCTGCCTAGACAGCAGTGGAGTTACCATGTTCAAGGCCCAGAAAGGGAGTAAGGACATCGTTAAAATAGTCCATGTGACCAGGGGCGCCGCTAAGGGGGGTAAAGTTAGGACGATTCTAAGGGCCCACGCACTTTGGGGCCCCCCAAAGATCTGTTTTATTAGTGGTAACAGTAGTAGTAGTAATGTAATAGAAATTATAAATGTATCTACCAAAGAGTTACAAATAAAACAAAATTACGGCTTATTTCTGCATTTCTGGCAAAACTATCTCCCCCCATTCACTGCATGGTTTCGTCCCGTCCTACGTAGCCTAGAGTCACTGAGTGCGATCAGATGGTAAACTGTCAAATTAGAGATGTCTTTGAGTTTGAGTGGGGGCAAACCGAGCCGGACGATTTGGTCAGTCGCACTTTTAAACACATTTTAGTTTTGCTACAGAAAAGCTACAAATTCACACTGATTACAACATAGAGCAGCAGCAGGGAGCGCATGAGGTTGTCATGGCAACTAGATACACTGCACGCGAATTACGGATGCGCTTCTATGTTGCCACACTAAACTTAGCAATAAACACGTTGAAAATAATACACACTAAACATGTCTGTCAAAACGATCTCAAAGGAGGCTTTTATTAAGCAAATCAAGGAGTGAATTACTCATCCACTGTTTTAAAAAAATGCTTTAGCTTTCCACAGGCAGGGTCACATCTACAGTGTATGAAGCTAAAGGTTTTTGAGTTAAGGTTCATAATGTAGAATTTTTTTTACATTGTATGCTGTATGTGCATAGGTAGCTAGCAAACAAAGAATACAGCTGTTAAGCTAATAGTCACATTTAGCTGAGAAAGATCATGATTGAGAAATGTTGGATACTGCTGGAAATGCTGCTATGGGGTATCCTATTTATTATTTTAGGATTTTTTTTGTTTGCCCCAGTTAAGCATTTCTTTTAATATAACTGATTAAGTAGTCAAACTCATTCCATATCAGCAGAATAGTGTGGTACAGAAAGTCTATGTCCATAG